GGTGTGCAGGGTAGGACAGACATTTGGAGCTAGCTTAAGAAGTGATGAGTCGGTGGGGAAGGAGGGCGAGGGGTGGGGCACTCAGGGGCAGGAGTTTGGACTTGGTCCAGGAACCTGGTTCACAGGAATCGTAAGGGGCATGGGCGGAGTGCCTCACGGTGGTCTTATCCAGAGCCCACGCTGTACTCCTTCCTGACCCTGATGCCCGGGAAGCGTCCTACCCAACTCCAGGGAGCAAGCAGGCTCTGGCCTCCACTTCTGAATCTCCCACCCTGTCACAGAGCCTCCTGGGCTCTCACCCTGCTGCCTTTGTCCCCTGGGTGGGGGAGACGACGGGGGATGTGACCCCAGCGTCTCAGCTGTCACCCGGGGCCCAGAGAGGAGACTCATAAATTCCTGAAATGTTTGGCTGAAATTAGATTTTATAGCCAGCTGCTTATGCGGAGGGCTCAGCTCTGCGGAAGAGATGAGGAAATCCAAGAAGAAACCCTAGCTGATGAAGATCCACCCCCAGGTGCGTCTGTCCCCCTACCTCGTCCTCCAGGAGCCGAATCTCTGGAGGGCACTTGGATGTGCCCTGCTCTGGATGGGCATTGACCACGCCTGCACCCTCTCAGAGTTACCATCACCCGTGTGGGGCCCTCCCTGGGAGGCTAGCCAAGACCCCCCTGCCAAGCTCTAGGCCTGCTCTTCAGTAAGCCCCATTGACGAATGCCAGACCAAGGGGTCTCACATCGAGCAAGTGGGCCCCGCGCTCTGACAGCCCCCAGACGGGCCCCCTTTTGACAGGCCTGTGGAAGACAAGCCAAGCCGGGCCCTGATAAGAAGTCAGGATGCAGATTACAGCAAAGCAGGGCTGGAGAACCAGGCTTCTGTCTGTCCCAGGGCAGCAAGCAGGGAGATCGTTAGCAAATCCACAGTTTGGAAGGGAGGGAGTAGAACCTCCCAGGGTGACTCAGACCCGGGCTTTCTGCTCCATGAGCCCCTGTGGCCTCAAAACCCCCAACTCTCTGCCACCAAGTTGATGTGCGCCCACAGCCACCTGGCCCTGTGGTTTGAAATCTTGATCTACGTAGAAAGCCTCATCTTTCTCCCTTGGCGCGGCTGGTGGTTTTGAAAAGTCGACCTTGCAGGGTTAGCAGTCCAATGTGTAACAGGAATATAAATGAGACTATGAGATTGAGGGGGTGTGTGTGAGTGTAAACATGAGTGTGTGAGAGTCAGACACAGTGTGGGAGAGACAGTGAGAGTGTGTTTGTGTGTCAGAGAGATACAATATGTGGTGTGTGTGGTGTGTGTGTGTGTAGTTTATGTGTGTGGTGTGTGTAGTGTATGTGTGTGTGCTCATGTGTGTGTAGCGTATGTGTGTGTGTAGTTTATGTGTGGCTTTTCCCCCTGCTCCCACCGACCTTGCCTTCCAGTTCAAGGGCACTCCTGTCCTCCTGGACGGACTGTTGGCAAGGGCTGGGGGCACAGTGGTTAACCGCTCAGCTGCCAACTGAAAGCAGGGAGGCTGGAGCTGACTGGGCACTCTGAGTGGGGACAATGTGGCAGTCCATTCCCCAAAGACATACAACCTCAGAAAGCCTAGGGCGGGGCAGTTCTGAGCTTTCCATCTGGACTCCTGCACCCTGGGCTAAGGGTTACCCCCCATCTCCCACTCAGAACACCAAAGCCTACCCTCAGAATGCTCTGGGGGTACACTCCCCGTCCCGGGGCAGGTGCTACCTTCAGCCCTAGCCCTGGCAGAGACCCTGGGTTCCACCCCACCCCCGCCCCACTGCAGATGCTGCTGTCAGATGTTCACAAGCGCCACCTCTCAGAGGCCCCTCAGCAGAGACGGCAGCCTGCCCTCCCTCCCCGGGTCTCTCATCCCAAGACAGAAGGATGGGCCAGAGCAGCTAAAAGCGGCTGTCAAACACAGAGAACAAAGACTCAAGAGGGTCTCCTCCCCCCTCCCCTCCCCAAACCCTGCACAGGACCGCTTCCCCTTGGCACCCACCACCACCCTGCACTGCTCACTCAGCCCCCCGCAGCCCCGCCCTGCTCCCCAGCACCCCGCGCTGGCTCCTGGGACCTGATGGGCAGTCTGGTATGAAGACATGGCTCTGCCTTGGGGCTCCTTGTCGAACTTTGTGGGACACTCTGCTCCTGGCTCCCAGTCTTAAAATGGGAGGCAGCCTGGGTGTCTGTTGCCTGTGCTGGCCATCCACCCCAGGGTCTCCTTCCACGCGGGCTTTGTAGGAGAGATGCCACTGTATGGGAACAAATGCTTGGGGAGTATTTTAGGAACGTTCAACCAGCAAACCTGAGAGTACAGGCAAGGCAAGACGTGCCTTCTTCCACCTCCAAGGCCACTCGTTCTCCCTAACCTCCAGCCTCCCCGAGCCCCCAACCTCCATCCAGGCTTGGGCTTGGCCTGGGTCTGAGCCCAGGGCCGCAGACACTTACCTAGTGCAGTTCTGGGGAGCTGGCTGGCTGGTCTGTCTGGGTGTCGGCTGCAGACTGTGAGGGGCAGAGCTCAAGGGAGGCTATGAAAACCGTGGCCAACAGCAACTGGTCAGTAAAAATAGAACAGACCCACTGCCCCCTCCACTGCCCCTCCCCCCCGTCTACCACACACACCCCCCTCATGGTGCAGACACACACTGCGGCGCACATGGACAGGGGTACAGGCTCCAAAACTCCTGCTTACATTGCCAGGCACACACACCAATCGTGTGCACACAGGGGCGGCCGGCTCTGCAGTCCATTTCGCTGCACGGCGAGCCTGTAGGACAGGGCAGCTCGGCCACTCAGGCCTTCCAAGACTGTCGTCTGTACAGCAGCAGACTGCCACCTCTTTCTCCCCCAGAGTGGCTGGTGAGTTTGAACTGCCCACCCTTTAGTTCCCAGCCAAGCTCTTACCCACTGCGCCTCCAAGACTGCTAGCACTCTCCTAGGGATGTGCAGAAGTCAACAAGAAGGAAAGAATGAGGGGCCAGAACACATGGGGTGGGGCTGAGCAATGATGGGGCCCCAAGCAGGGGAACAAGGGCAAACAAGGGGCTCCCCTGAGGGATGTTGGGGGTACTGGCAGACTGGGAGGACTGCCGTGTTGACCCCTTACAAGCAGACCTGGGAGACAAACCACAGCAACAAGGGGCCACATGGGCTGGTTGGTTTCCCAATGCATACAAAAGCAACGTTCCCACTGCACAGCAGCAGCATGTGAGATGTTTGAAATGCTGCGCGGATCAGCAAAAGGTAAAGAGCGCTAACCGCAAGGTTGGCAGTTCCAACCCACCAGCCGCTTCAGGGGAGAAAAAGGAGGTGGTTCCCGTTAAGATGCACGTCTCAGAA